CCCCCCCCCCCCCCCCCCCACCACACAGCAGCAAGGCAGAGACTGGAAGCAGCTTTGCTGTTGCCAGAGCCCAAAGCTTCTTCACAGTAGGTTGTGCAGGGGGGCAGGGCTGGGCTTCCTGCTCTCCTCCGGTCCTGCTGAGACCTTGGCACAAGTTCACAGAAAGGGCAGTTTGGGGATTCTTTCCTTGGAGGAAAGCAGAGAACGGAGACAGATCTTCTGCTCACTCTCAGCACACATCATTTATTTTTTTGCTGAATAAATGAATTTATTGCTGGAGAACAAAAAAAATATATATGAAATACAATACAAGGCCAAACCTCAGCATCTGGATGTTATCTGATCTGACCCACACTTCTTATAGCATTACTGACATTTTCGTGACCAGCTTTGAATACCTCTGGTGGCAGGGCGCTCACTACTGACAAGGCAGTACATTCCATGGCAAGCAGTTCTTCCTCATGCTGAACCAGAAATGCATGCTGGGAATACCTCTGCTTTTTGTGTCCTCACAACTCTATTTGAGGCAACACGGGCTCTTGCGTCCAACAAAGTGAAGTTCAAATCCTGACTCTAACCAACTTGCAAGTTCCAGTCCCTCTCTGGGTGCTGTCCTCACAGGACTGCTTTGAGGATAAAAGAGAACATATGTAGGGAACACAGAGAGCACAGGATGTTGGAATGTTCTCCTCCCCCTTCCTCCCCACGATCTGGGTCTGCCCTTGGCCAATCACCTCTGATTCTGGTGCAGTTCAGGTGTGATGTACACACCCACCCTATCTGGTTATCCTCCTCCATATGCCACCAAGGATGTCTGCATCCTTGGTGACCAGTATAGTCCCAGGGGCTACTGGCTATTACCTGGGGCTGAATAAGAGTCACTAGACACTGGTGTCTCTGAATTTACCTTGCCCAGGAAGCCAACTGCACCCTTCTCATCAGCTGCTGCCCCCCTTCCAGCTCTGGCTCTGAGGCAGGGGGCACGTAGTTTGTCTTGGCCAAAGCCATTATCTCCCCCTTCAAACTGCTCCTTCCCTGGGTTGCCCCTGAAGCTGGGGTATCATCTCATCTCATGCCCCCTCACCCCTCCTCCACCTCCAGTCCATCTGCCTCCTCAATCCTTCTGTGGTCCATCCCATCACCGTTGCTTGGACCCAGGGCAGGCCATAGTCATCTCTAGCTTGGGCCTTTGCAGACATCTCCCTTGACTCTCCAGCCTCCACTCTCCAGCAGGGCTTTAAAAATTACATATTTTTGCCATGTCACCACCCCACACCCCCTCAGCTTTCAAACCCTTAATGGCTGCCCTTGTCCAGTAGGATCCAATCTACAGTTTATCCAGCATCCCAAGCCGCCCTCCTTGCCTTTGTCAATCCTCTTTGCACAGTCTGCTCCTTCAGCCTCTTCAGCACTGAAACCACTGACTTTCAAAACTGGGCATATCTTCTCTCTTGCACATACACACCTCTGCGTCCCCATTTCTCTTCTTCATCGGACTCAGATGCTACTGTCCCTGCACACACCCCCAGTTTCTATGGCTCTCCTCCACAAAATCCCTCCACCCTGCTCTGCTCTGCAGGGAGTGTGGCTCTCAGGGTCCACAGCTCTAGTTGGGAAAGGAGTGGGGAGGCCCAGGATTTTATTCCCATTCCGGGCTGCCCTGATCTTGTAACCTCAGGACACTTAGTCGGATCACACGCGGCGGCAGACAGACCGACCCACTGCCTTGTTCAGGGGCTGAAGGGCCTGACACTGTCATCAGACAGTCCTGGGTTCTCCTTCAGCTTTCCGCACTAAAGCATTGGGGGACCCGGGGCAAATGACGGCACGTATCGGATCCTCAGCTTCCTCATCTCTACTCGGGGAGCGCAGACAGTCCAGCGCGCGGCCAAGGGACCAGCGCGCGTTTTCCTCCTCCCCCCCTACCCGGCCACCCTGGGGGGAGGTGCAAGCAGGCAGGTCCAGAGGGGAGCAGCAGAGACAGCCGGCCCGCCCCCGCCCCGGTGGGCAATGAGTAACCAGCTCCGCGGCCAGGGTGCTCTTTGGACGGAGCGGGACAAAAGGCCCTGTGTGCGCTGCGGGTTACTGATTTACCGTCCCCTCCACCCCCCTTCCGAGAGGACGCCCAGGTCCCCAGTGCTGGGAGGGGGCAGTCCCTGAGCCCCGCCGCCGCTCGCCCCCTGGCGGCTGGGAGCGCAACCTGGGTCCTCAAGGGTTCCCGGCTCACTTCGAGCCTCCATGGTCCCTCTCCAGGCACAGGGTCCCAGCTCACCTGGGTCCTCCGCGGCCGCGCTCCCAGCTCCGGCCAGCCCCGACACCCGCTCCTAGTGGGGACTGCAGACTCAGCCAGGGCGCTCCTCCGCCCCGGGCCAGAGAGCCAGGAATGCACCCGCGACAGTGGCGTGGCCGCTGGAGGCCCAGCGCCCCGCCCACCTTGGGCCCCGCCCCTCCTGGACCAGCTCTAACCTGACAGTGACTTGGCGGGGGACAACCCAAGGCCCCGCCCACCTTGGGCCCGCCCCTCCTGGATCAGCACTATCAGGACCACCGCCAAAGCTGCTGGAAGTACAGTGTCCCGTCCGCTTGGACATCAGTCCCCAAACCCAACAGAGCCTAGTGGCCATCTGGGTCAGCCCAATCCCGGGGCCCCGCCCCAGGTTGCTGCACACCCCATCAGACTCCGCCTCTTTTCGATGCACCCAGACCAGGCTTCCAAGTTCTAGTTATTTGCTCTATCCTCTGCTAGTCACCCCTTAGACAGCAAGACCGAGCAGTCCTGAACAGCCATCCTCGCCAGACCTTGATCCTGCCTGCCTTCTTCTGTCTTCTGTAAGTGGCTGGGAGATCCCATCTGCCCCCAACCCACTCTGTCCGTTCTCTGCACAACTCTCAGGGTGATATTTGCAAAACAAATCTGGGGGCTGCTGGCTGGCTCAGTAGGTGGAGCATGGGGCTCTTGATCTCGCGGTTGTGAGTTCAAGCCTCACGTTGGGTGTGGAGATTGCTTAAATAAACTTTTAAAAAATCTTAAAAAAAAATACAAATCTGAATGTGTCCATCACCCCTTTAAAACTTTCTGGCAGTTTTCTATGATGATTCTTGGCATGACCAGGCCCCTATCCACATCTCCTGATGAATTCTTTATTTCTTCCTTGCTCCCACTCTACCTCTGGGCCTTTGCACATATGATTCCTTCTTCCTGGAATGATCTTTCCCCTCTAGGTCTGGTTGATTCCATTTCATTCTTAGATGTCAGCTCACTTCCTCAGAGAAGCCCTCTGGACCTGTCAGGCTCCACTTAGATGCCTTCTGTCCTGTGGGCATGGAGAAAGAGGCAGGAAGTAAAGCACAGATTTCAGGACTCAAATCTCAGTGCCATCACACTTGGAGTAACCTTGGCAGGTTAGTCCATCCCTGTGTTTTCATTTTCTCAACAGTAGAGTAAGTATAATGATAGTATCATCCTCATGAATTTTTTTGTGAAAAGTAAACATGTGTAAGCCTTTAGAACATTGCCTGGTGTTTAACATTTGCTTTGTAATGTTCACTATGATTATTTAGGACCTGTTAGTTTTTCAACTTCATGGAACATTCCAGAACTGTAACTAAAACAGTTGTGTAAATAGAAGCCAGGAACTGCCTATAGACTTCAACACCTGCACACAGTAGGTGCTGCTCCACCTTGCTCAGGTCTGCCTCGCTTGTAAGTACCCCTCCTCTTGAGCATCTAGATAGTGGCCAAATGAGGAGGTCAGCTGCCCTTTGTCTTCTGCCCCATCCTCACCTGAAGTCTAAGCCCTCCACTCCTAAGAAGGAGAAGAAAACCCCGTAGCTGGGGTCTCAGACTCACCTCCCAATTCCTCTGGCAGGTGGAGACTTGCCCCAGGGGAACCAGCTTCCTTTTCCATTGTTATGCGAAGGAGTCTAGTTCCCATTAACATTATTCCCAATGGAATAGACGTCTTTCCTTTGCATAACTAAAAAGCCCATCAAAGGGATTTTTTTTTCCTTCTCAAAAAAATAATGGTCTCCTCCCAAAGATTAATCAGAAAATAATTGGCTATCTTTTTTTGTTTTTTGTTTATTTTTGAGAGAGAGAGAACCCAAGTGGGGCAGGGGCAGAGAGAAAGAAGGGGACAGAGGATCCAAAGCAGGCTCCATGCTGACAGCAGCATGCCCAATGTGGGGCTCAAACTAGAACTGTGAGATCATGACCTGAGCTGAAGTCAGACAATCAACCTGCTGAGCCACTTGGGCACCCAGGTGCCCCTTGGCTATCTTTTAAAACCAACTCATTCTGATTCCTTCTCAGGGTCCTTCCTTGCTGGAACACCTGGAAAGGATAAAGCTCCTGGCACTGGGGGTGCCCAGCAAATGGAAGCCTCCTGCCCAGAGGGGCCTCACCAGACCTCCCAGACTCCTGGAGTGACTCAGCTCCCCAACTCTGGTCCTCTGCTGGCTCCCCTTAGTGAATGTGGTTGTTTGGGGTTGGGGTGAGCTGCCAGCAGGAGATGGACCCCACACAGCTTTCATTCAACTTCAGGCACTTCTCAGGTTTACTGGAGCCAAAGGCAGAGGAAAGGTTTTCATAGCCCAGCCTGTGCATACTCCTTGCCTCCTGAGATGCCCAAGTCCCTTAGACTGGCAACCCTATACCCCACACACCCTGAGTCTGCACATGCCCTGTTTGCCTCCCATCCCACACTCAACGACCTCTCACACTGACCCTCTGTGGCATGTGATGCTCTTTCACGTCGTTCATTCATACACACATTCATTTGCCAGGTGTCAATTAAAGGTTCACTATATGGTATGCATTGTTCCAAATCGTGGGGATAAAGCAGTAATCCGACCCAACCTCTCCCCTTCAAGGAGCTGCTGACACTGTAGTGGG